GGGGGCAGGGGCGCTGCGCGCTGAGGCGGCGCCGCGCTGTGGAGGGGCCCGCCGCCATTTTGTGATGGCGCTGCCCCCTTCCCTTCCCGCGCGCGAGTGGGCCTGCTGCTGACTTTTTGTTTGCTTCGGTATTTTTTCGCCCCTGAGGCGCATGCGCTTCTCTGAGGGCTCCTCCTTTGTGGGGGGGCCACAATATGGTATTATACTCCTTCCTCCCCCCCCCAAAAAAAAATCTTGTGTCCCTGGATTTGGGGCCTGCACTGGGTGCGTGAGAAAGCAAGGCCCTGTTGGGAGATAGCGGCCCTCAAATCTCCCTCTCCTGTGAGCCACGTGTGGCACGTGGTGGTCCATGCGGGCACCAGTTTCGGGGAACCAAATTTAGGAGCGTGGGGTCGGGTCCCAGGTTACAGGACTGCCACCCGTGCCCATTCCCCGTCTCCTCAAAGACATGGTTTCCCTGTACACCGGTCGGTAGAAAGATGATTATCCAATGCCATGTTTAGTTGTCTGGTTTGTTGGGGTTTATCCCTAAAAATGAGAGGTATTACTGGCCAAATTGTGCAGGGAGTGGTGCCTGGTTTTATTGGGTTTTATCCCTAAAAATGGGAGTTTTGAGTGGCCAAATTGTGCAGGGAGTGGTGCCTGGTTTGTTGGGTTTTATCCCTAAAAATGGGAGTCTCTGGTGGCCAAATTGGGGGGGGGGGGGGGGGGCCTGGTTTGTTGGGTTTTATCCCTAAAAATGAGAGGTTTTACTGGCCAAATTGTGCAGGGAGTGGTGTCTGGTTTGTTGGGTTTTATCCCTAAAAATGGGAGTTTTTAGTGACCAAGTTGTGCAGGGAGTGGTGCCTGGTTTTGTTGGGTTTTATCCCTAAAAATGGGAGTTTTTAGTGACCAAGTTGTGCAGGGAGTGGTGCCTGGTTTTGTTGGGTTTTATCCCTAAAAATGGGAGTTTTTAGTGACCAAGTTGTGCAGGGAGTGGTGCCTGGTTTTGTTGGGTTTTATCCCTAAAAATGGGAGTTTTTAGTGACCAAGTTGTGCAGGGAGTGGTGCCTGGTTTTGTTGGGTTTTATCCCTAAAAATGGGAGTCTCTGGTGGCCAAATTGGGGGGGGGGGGGGGGGGCCTGGTTT